TAAAAGACCTCTCCAATCAAATCAGTGGTATCTCTAGAGTCGAGTCACGCGTAGCGGCGCTGCGCCGACACGCGGTTCGGGTCCGAAATCACGCCAAACTCGTCGACTGCTATTTGTCCACATTTTATAAAAACAAAGGCATCTTCACGTTCGGCGCCTCCTCTCGCCTTTTGGCCACAGATATCACTGAAAATCCGCTTAAATACAGGGTATATAGCGGTGCTGTATTGGGACAGTCACACAACATATCCAGATATGATTTACCCGATCCCGGAGTCTACAGAGAATTCTTCAGGTCATACCTCTTAACAATTGCTATACAGTATTAGTCAATATTGGTTCTCATATACAGATCCAATCCATTGATTGACTTCAAGCCATTGACGTCCACGTGTTCGTACTTCAAGGGCTGTCCGATCGACAAATTGGATATCACTATCGCTTATCAATTACCAGAATTGGTCGGCAAATACAAGAAGTTAACACAAATCCAACCTTATCTATAGTTATTGTATAATAGATTTATTTTAAGACAATTCAATACAAAATAAAAACAATTTATTGTTTATTTAATTATTTAAATGACGAGTTTTGGGCACTTTTACAGCATTATTGATTCAATCCTTCATATAATCTATAGTATTGTCTATAAGTGAACACTAATTGCATTGTTTGACAACAATGGTGTAGTGATGAGCGCTTCAGCACCTGATGGCGGTTCCAATGGCCATAAATGTGCCGAAAGTGCCGCCGCCCTGAATCATCACCTTTGCCATCGATGACACCAGTTCTCGACCTCTAAGTCCTAATCTATACATACAATCATATCATCATAATGTGGTCACAACTGTCGCAGTCGTCGTAATGCATACCTCAGAGCATTGACGCCCCCAAACACGCCTCCGGAGGCCAGACCCACACACATACCCATTGCAAAGCCATACTTCACTCGATCCCAACACGAAGGCTGCGATCGCTGCCCATAAATGTTACCCACGGCTGGCATCACAACTGATCACACCATCAATCGGTCAATCAATCGATCGATATATCAATCAAATCACCACTCATTCAATGGATTCCGAAACACAATCAATGCTTTCAAAGCATGTCTTCAATAACACAGTCTGTGTTCAACACAGCGTTCAATACAACGTTACTGTACTGTACGGTCTGTACAGTGCGTACAGCCATACAAGTCATGCGCCCTTCACTCCGCACATGAGTCTCGAGTCTTTGTAATGCAATGCCTTTAAACGAGTCATAACACCAATAGGCTCAGTGGTCTAGGGGTATGATTCTCGCTTCGGGTGCGAGAGGTCCCGGGTTCAAATCCCGGCTGAGCCCTATCACCAACTTATTTTTTAGTTATATTACCTGTATTTCTATTTGACTTACAGTATACTATATTAGTATTTTATTTTAGTTGTTTCATTGAATAATGAATCATTTAATGTGATAATGTGGTCGATTTAGGTTTAGTAAACAATACACATTTGTACTTATCAAATCGACACATTCCAGTAATCCAATGCTTATAATTTTCTAACAACAGTTTGCATTTGATTAGACCTAAAATTTTAAAAATGATGTTTTTAACTTCATTTGATACAAATGTGCGTTCATATACATTGCAATTCAATGCTTAAGTTTAATACTAATACTATTAATAATACCATAAATGAGTTTTAATATTAGGTCTACGGCTAAGAATTAGGAATTAGGTGCCAGTAATCAAATCATATACACTGTACAGGTATTCAATTAGTCAAATATCAGTAATAATGATAATTACCGTATATATATTGTAGTGATTTAATTGTTTTATTAGTGAAAATAATATATTAAAAATTAAAATATAATGACAATTATTGGGTTGAATTGCTTTGGTTTTAATGAATTGAAATACAAGATTGTATTGATAACAACGATAACTAATGAAGTGATAGTAACGGACATACTTTGGAATATATTATATATTTGGAAGATATGAACATATGATTGAATGACAACTTCTCTTATGTTTTTCATTATTTCAAAATACAAAATAAGTTTACAATTAATGAGAAAATGCAATGTATTGTGAATTTTATATTAATTTATACAATAATAAGCGATTTATAG